TGACGCATAACATGCAATGCTGCCGAGAACCGGTTTCAATCATTTACATGAGGCATTTCTATTTTAAAATATTTTAACATTTTAAAAGATAATATATTCCTGTCATCTGCAGTTTGATTGCGTGCAGCAGGATAGTAGAATCACAGAATCATTAAGGTTGGAAAAGACGTCTAAGGTCATCAGGTCAAACCATCAACCCAACACCACCATGCCTGCTAAACCATGACCCAAATTGCCACATGTACACATTTTTTGAACACATCCAGGGATGGTGACTCCAGCACTGCCCTGGGCAGCCTGTTCCAATGCCTGACCACTCTTTCAGTGAACAAATTTTTCCGAATACCCAATCTAAACATCCCCTGATGAAACTCGAGGACAAAACTACTGCGGCGATCAACCCTCGAACATAGTCTCTTCAGTCATGAGAGGAGAGCAGGAGAAACGCAGTGGTTAAAAAAAACAGACTATCGATCCCATTGAGCCCCTTACTAGGTAGCAGAAGCACATTTCACCGAATTGTCTATTCAAGTGCTTAAAAATACCAGAGATGGCATTTTCAGTTGGTCAAGAGCTTGGAGCTGAGACTGTTATGTGGTTATGAACCAGGCTCTTCTGACTGGGTGTGCGTTGTCCAGCAAACTTGCTCATAAAAGCAGCTTTTTCTACAAGTCATTCCTCCTGTCCCCAATGGCTTTAAGTTACTGAGGACAAAAAAATGCATCCGATGTTTAGGTAGCACTGAATTCCTGCCTCAAAATCATGGGGCAGATGAGATCAACAATTCAAGTAGTTATCAGTAAACTGTACATATACTGTCTGAGTAATTGCTTTCGGGGATGTAAGTGACGGCATAACATGTGCTCAGGCTGGACTGAGGAATACCTCAGTCTGAGGGATAAAGCTTGCACTGAGTCACCAGCCTGCCATTCACTTAAAAAATTTCACTTAATTTAGGAAACAAGCCCATCAATCTCACTAATGTGATTCTTTTATTAAGTGTCCTTCTTTGAGAAAAGGAGTAGGGATGCTTTGATTCTGATAATAACCTGTCCGTCCTGGTAGAAGGAATAAGATGCAGTTGCAGCTCTGTTTTCATCTAATTGTGTTTTCTTATTAGACCCAAGCTCTGGTAATTTGTGTGTGATGAACTCCTAAATGAGGTGTCCAGGGTATGAATCCCTGCATAGAGTCCTAAGCATGTGACTTTTCAAAGTTGCTAAGGGGTTTTATAAATTGTGGTTACTCAGGAACATTTTTTAATAAAAGACAGATTGTTGTTAATTCATCTGGCATATATTTAAATAGCATTATTTCTGGGCACTTATCGTAATGAAATCTTCAGTAGGCAATGTGCATGTAATTTCACTGGAATTACACAGCAACTGAGTGTGATGGAGGACCCAATCACTGTTAAAACAGGCCCAAACAAGCTTTGCTTTAGCAGAAGAGGCCAATCATTATTATTTCAGGAGCTATTCTTTGTAATAAAGTTAACCATGGTGAACTAATATCATTTTAATGTGAAAATAATATGTGCTTCCATAGGTGCTTCGTGCTGCAACCCCAGAAGTTAAAATCTGGTCTTTTCGGTTTTGAGATTTTAGCCGTTTCTTTTTGTGATGTGAAGCAGGAGATGGCTGCGTGCCTCCTGTGGAGCCTCACACATAAACAACAGCAGCGCTGCTCTTGCTGAACTCCTGTGTGAAAGCCTTGTAGCATCCTAAATTTTCCTGGAGTCTTTCCCAGCCAGCTTTGCCATGGATGAGCTTTTAATTTAATCGAGAGCAGAACTTACTGATTATTCCTTTTGTTGCTGCTTCCAAGGCTGAGAGCCCTCCTGTTGACAAGAGTCCCATCATGTGCACCCGCTGTAGCAGACAGCCCTCCTGGAGAAGCATTTACCACAAAGCTGGGCTGGCCCTTGGTTTCAGTTCATGAGTTCGAGAGGCACGTTTGACTCATACCCTAGGCAGAACCACCCTTTCACACTGTCTTGGGAGATGCAACGGGTGGTAGATACCTAAAAATGTGAAAAGTTGCTCCTTGCTGTACTCCATCCCATGCACTTACCCCACAAGTGCTTTTCAAGAAGCTACGTATGCAAAAGGGACCAAATTTGGAAAACAGTTGTTAATACTTCAACATTTCTGTGCCAAATTGATATATCTACTCTTTAATGAACATATAATTTATTACCACTCTTTTTATATAAATGGCACAGTGACAGGAATCCCCTAAGCTGTGGATTACAATGCCAGCATTTGAAGAACGATGAAGCAAAGTTGTTTTCTTTTTGGACATTTTTTTTGGATATTGCGGGAATAAAAGTGTACTCCAGAAAGCCACTGTGATGAATCCAAATCCTCAAGATGCATAGTTACACATGAATAAACAAATTTAAACGGAAGGCAGTTGTTTCACAGAACGTTATACTTACAGCTTTCTAGCTGCAGTCTGCATGTTTGTGTGTCCATGGGGTATTTTGACAGGTCCATGTTACAAGCAACAGTAGTAGTGATTCTGTAGGAGGAAAAAGAACTCTGAAAGTTGCAATTAAACCACGTAATGAAATATCTCTGTTTTTCATAGCAAACTGGACCACAAAGACTCTGCTCTGTCATTTAGGTCATTTTGACCTATAAAATGATACAGTCAGAGAGAACCCTCCCGAGGAAGATATGCTCTGTGCCGCCACACTGATGAAAACTTAACTGAAGGAGGAATTTTGCTTTGCTGTGGTGGGAGATTTAATGTAGATTCACAGGTTTTCCAGTGCTACAGTTTGCACAGCTTCAGAAGCTGCCACTTGTCACCTGAGGCACGGTAACTAACTCCACACGTATGCTGGCTTGCTCTGCTGTGGAGGGTAAATGAGTTGGTTTATAGCAGCTTTGCTTTGCAGTTAAAGTAACTGGGACACAGTTGAGCTGAGAAGAGGTGAAAATGTATGAATTTCTTACACAATTACAGTGCACGTTTCTGCAGTACATGTACAAATATGTTTTTTGCTAAAAAGCAGAAATCATGGCTACATGGCACTGGATAAGCCAATAGTTCCCTGCTATCTGCTAAATGTTTACTGTTATGACGTCCTCCCTCCATTCTGCCCCTGCCTCCACCCGACTCGACTTGACTTGTCCTGGGTAACACCTAGACTTGGGAGCTTCCGGAGCAGGCACTGTGCTCAGGACACAGCACACATCATGGTGGGGGATATCCCGATCCTTGGCTGGCATTTCCAGGTGGCCAGAAGAGGAGGCAATGGATCAGAAGAGTATGCTCACAGTTGGCTGGTTGGCCCCAAACTCATAACCCGTTATGGCTGGTATCTGCTCCTGTCCAGCGTAATTTTGGAAATCTGTTCTGAACCATAACCATCATCAAAGCCAAAGGCTGATTTACCTTAAGGCGTACAAGATGGTGCCATTAGAGAACAGTCTGATGAGACGGTTCCCCACAGTGACGTCGTGCAGGAAGGACCGTTTTGACTCCACAATGTACGTGTCTGGTACCCAGAGCAATTCCACTAGACGAGCATCTAGCGTGAAGCTCTTGTTGCCGTGAAAGACCAACCGGGGGTCTGTCCAGCGCTGCCGCAAATATATAGTAGCTGTGTAATCCTGGGAAAGAGAGGGCAGCCTGTGAGGACGCACGTCCAGGACACCGGCGCAGCATGGCCGTGGGTACGCCACGTGCGACAGCAGGCAGAACGCGCATTCGTTTAACCTGTCAAAGCTCAGCTTCACACCCGTGCAGTAAATCAGAGATTGTCGTCATCGTTTCATTCACTGTGTTACATTTCTCACATACTTACGCTCTAAGGTGTAGTGTTTGAGGACTAAAGGTTATCCTTGTAGTACTTTTTTTTTCTTAAATGAGCAATTATTGTAATTGATATTTTTACGTCCATTTTTCAGGTAAGACAACAGATGGGAAGGGCACACTTGAGGTCACTCAGCAAGTAACTGACATGAAAAATCAGTCATTGTCTAGAGTTGGAAAATTACACATGTAGTATAACGTGATCATGAAAGAGACATTGGCTCTTTGGAGAAAAAAGGTGAGCAAACTCAACCTGTTATTTCACCCAGGTCTTAAAAAACCCCAAACAAATGAAAAAAGCAAAACTTGTAGCATCTTTTTAAATAGGAATTTTGAAGCTAAGGATACTAGGATTAACTTGAGTTTAGCCCACCAAAATCTACCTGCAATGACTGAAGTATTTTTAGAGTGCCCTATCATAAAAGAATAAGCTGTGCTCAGCTCGAAAGATAATTTTTTACTGAGACTTCTGGACAGACACAGGGCTCTGTTGTACTGCTCCGCTTCCTTCCTTATTCATGAAGTAAACGCAGCCACTCCTTTGAGCCTCAGACCGTGTCGCTGCTCGAAGCCTCATCTCTCCTCCTTGAGCAGCAACCCCGTCTGTGTCTTCTGTCAGCACCAGCACGCGACAGAGGCCACCCCAACCCTGCACAGAGAGCTCCCACACGGAGGAGAGGGGAGGGAGAGGAAACGTCGCACAGGATTTTTTTTCTCCATTTGAAAGGGGCCTGATTTCCAGAAGGTGCTGAGGTTTGACCAGTAGGACCTTCGGAGCCAGCTCTGTTTACTTACAAGCCCACACTACTGTGGCATCTACGTGGTCTGCAGTCGTAAATGAGCCCCGTTCCCATCACACCTCTAAAGTGGTCAACAGACACACAAAAGCAAAGCAGCCTGAACATCGCCGTTAGTTTCTGTGCCAAACACACAGGAAGACGTGACAAGTCTCTCGGCCGATCCTACTCTTATCTTACAGAATAAATTTGAACGACTTACCATGTCGCTCTCTGATATACTAGAAATACTCGCGATGTCCAGACTCATTGCAATTTGAACAGGTTCTCCTGTGGAGAGAAAGAAAAGCTTAAGGAGAGAGACGGGAGAAGTGGAAAAGCTTAAGCAGAGAGACGGGAGGAGCAAGAGGCCCCGTAAAACCTCTCGGGACGGTGTGCGGCGCGGGCACTGCTCGCAGCGTCCCACGCGCTCAACACTCGCTCTAAAGCTGGAGGAGCACAAAGGGTTAGACGCCGTTTTAGAGCACTGGACTCACAAATGACATCGTGATCCAAAGCAAAGTTGTCCCTGCCAGGGAGCTGGAGCCGCGCGCGAGGTGACAGCAGCAGAGACAGGCGCCATGTTGCGGGCAACGGGCCAGCACCCATGGCCGCGGTGTCCCTGCAGCGCAGCCCAGCCCAGGACACCCACACGCTGCCGAGCGCCCTGCGCTCCATACGAAGCGTTTCTCAGGCGTGGCTCCCGAGGGCTCTCTGCAGGCATCCCTGTCTCTCAGGGAGGAAAATCTCAGAGGCAGAGGAACTCGGGGACGCCCGGGACCGCACAGGTCCCAGCCCAGCAGCACGGCAGCCTCTGCCTCCGAAATTCACGGCGTTACCATTCCGTTTAGGGGACCTAATAAATGCTTACAAATATCTGAAGGGTGGGTGTCAGGAGGATGGGGCCAAGCTCTTTTCAGTGGTGCCCAGAAACAGGGCAAGAGGCAACGGGCACAAACTGAAGCAGAGGAAGTTCCGTCTGAACATGAGGAAGAATTTCTTCCCTCTGAGGGTGACAGAGCCCTGGAACAGGCTGCCCAGGGAGG